TTTATTATAGCTGTGATAATAAATAATTTACTAGGGGACCTCGAATAAACTGACAGACTAACAGTAGGAGATTGGACGTCTATCGGTCATTCTGCTATACATAAAGTCATAAACCCGTCCTATTAGACAAGGGTTCGTGGTACATTTGAGAAACTATGCCACCCTGTACATACTGAGAGTTTTATAAAATATATAAAATTGGAGCAATAATCAAGACAGTCTATTTTGCCGAATTTTGTTTACTTAGCCAATCGCCTTGTCATAATTTTTTTATTAAAGAAACAAAATAAGGTGTTTTGATTGAATTACGACTATGTCAGGAAATTGTAGTATAGTATTATTTCAGATCATTTATTGGACATTACGAAAAATAGCAGCAATTTCTAATAAAATCTACGAAGGAAGCGCCGATTAGTGCGATAGTGTTTAACATTAGTAAGATTTAAGTGCCTTTGATTCTTATTAGCATTTTAAGATTTGCGATCTCTTAGTAGTGGGCGTTTCGTTCTTGGGATTTTAATGTCGTGGGTATATTTAAATGGTACAGAAGCAGATATGCAAATTTTAACTAGAAAGAATAAAAGCTGTGGCCAAACCTGGTTCTGATTGGTATCTGTAAAACATGGACTCACACAGGACTATCGAATCTTCGCACATCTTTAAGTGATGGGGATTTCTTTCAATTATTGCAGCCGTTCGAAATGCATGCGAAAATGAACATTCATGAGAAAGTTTTTCCATTTGCAAACGGTATGAAGGTATTAGGACATGAGTCTGAAACAGTAACACATCAGACAATACCGTTGTAGGTTGTTGCCAGATATTACAGCAGGTTATTTTGGATGTCATCTGCTCTGGGCGCTGTGTACTTTCCATGCCACAACAACACTCTTGTACACATGGCAACTTTGTGTGTTTATCCTTAATTCCGGCGAAGAAACGTTTATTGTTAGCAATTTATCGCTGGATTATCAGTTGTTATTTCTAGTAGTAAAAGTATGCACATTCATTTTTAATTTCGGTAGTTTACTGATTTGAGCCCCGTTTCCAATCGACTATTAAACACGAAATTCGGTTACCAGTAGATGTAAATCTCTTGACAAAATATATATAATGTAGAAATATATCACTGACGACACGCGATTAGGTCAACGTGAGTACTCTCTGCTGTATTTAATACTTCGATTAATTTAAACATACATTTAGCAAGAGCTAAATCAGCCCATTGCAGACCTTTCTTTAGGCTTGAAATGTTATCTAAATTATTAATTAGACATTAATGAACTTATCTAGACCATAATCAACTCTCGATGTTAACGCTAGCCTGTGATATTTACTGGATTACGATCAGATTTGCTGCTCAACTTTCATTCCTGATTTAATCATGAAATGGATAATCGAGACTATGTTTTTTTTTATCGTACCGACTTTAGTAATGATGATCGAGGCTAGGCCGAAAATTCAATTGCTAAAATCTCGGTTCAGAGTGGATCAATTTGTGACAGAAATTTTCAGCAAATTCCCTGTACGTTATCAAGTTTTTAACTATTATAGTGAGAACTGCCAGCTCTTTATCTAATCTCCTATAATGTATCTTTAAGTGGATTTTTGTTCTCTATACTATTCTGATGTTATTACTGGATATTATGATTACACTTTGCTCTTTTTTTTACATTTTTACTTCTGAATACAAAAACACAAGTAGCGATAAAGAGGGAAAATGAAATTTGACGAACACAACTTCAGAGAATAGTGTATGAATTGAAGGATTTCATTTAAATTTACCCAAAAAATCGATGTCAGAAAAAGAAGAAATTGATGATGTTTCTTTAGCTTTTAAGAAGCATGATGTTTTGATCTGAAAGATGACGTACATTTGCCGAACTCCATATTCCAGTGTCATTACAATATGTCCAAGCTGGTGAAACGGAAATGACAGCAAATCCTATAACAAATACGAATACACTACCTCATTTACATATTCCTGCTATTTTGATAGAAGCTAGCTGAGCTCGTGATGTGAGTCTTATCCCTGTAACATTAAGGTGACGTGTATTTACTATATAAGGTCGGACAGGTGTGCCCCGTTCCTAAGCTCCAATATTACATTTGTAATTCAAATTCAGGAATAGCTGGCTTAGAAGGAAATTAAGCTCATCTTTTCATATCCGCTATCAACGGAGATATTTATTCTTAAAAACCAAGCAAGTGAACATAATGTATCCGATGAAGAATAAAAGAAATCCAGAAAAATAATGGAAAGCAAAATGTGTTGGTTGTCTTTTACAGATTTACAAGTAATTTATACGGACTCACTGTTTTCATGGAGTAATAAAGTCACATATTTCATTGATTTTTGTGGAAATCAATCGCCCCCGTTAGAGTTTGGACGACGATGAAGTTTCCATCTAGTTACGATATGCGGATAACTATCATCTGTTCTTTATCGGTTCTTAAAAAGTGAGACGAAGAAGAGCTTTATAAAATCAGTTTTGATAAATGACATAGTCAAATAAATAACCTAGAAAATATGTCTTTCGTTCTATTTTTTGATATAAATCCACCGAGCATTATTACTAATAAATGAAGAGATCCACGGTCAGTCATATTTTATGTGATTGATTTAGTACACTTTGTATCTAAACATAGATATAGGCCGCTGTCAGATTATAAGTGTACCAAATCAGTCATTTAAATGATCTGCAGTTCCCTTAAATTCAAGGTTAATGCACACCGGATCAGATAATTTTTAGCAGCCACAAGCATGACATCTATGTAAAAATGCAAAGAATTGATTAGGAATAAACCAGTGATAGTTGAGAGATCATAATGTCCCGGGTTCGAATCACATCTTGTTCCATCTTGTCAGGGGTTGCGTATTCCCAGTGCTGTCTCACGAAGTCCACACTCTTACACATTGGTTTACAGGTAACAGAACCCCCGAAACGCTACTAAGGGGGTTAAATATTCCTGTCTGGCTATAATAAATATATTTAAACGTATATTAGTCCAAAATGGATTTGGGGATGTGATCGAGTGGTCCAACGTGTGAGCTCTAGATCACGAGTGAAGCTACATGGTTTCGACGGTTATACAGCTAAGAAACAAATATTCGCAAATTAATCACGGGAATGGAGGGGGGGGGGACGTATCTTCGGTCAACCGCTCCCTTGGGTTCCGACATCCCTACGTTAACTTAAAGGAGCTAAATCGCTAACATTTGGGACCTAAAAATTGACAAAAGTGGGTCGCAACGCATACAATACTGTAGTATGAATGTATATAAACTGATTTACATTCAATGGTTTCCGTTTTTACTCCAATTTCAAATCAGTTATGTTCGGCGAAATAAGCCAGCAGTCTCAAGCGAGTGCAAATTTCTAGCGTCTGGCTATTCCTATCTACATACGCCGTTTGATTTGGTGCAATGTGTGTAGCCTCGTCCCTCGAGTCTCTCGGTACAACTGGGGCTGACGCGCAATAGGGTACACGATTCGTGTACCAATGGTAAAATGTTTATTTTGTCTTAAATATTGGATATCAAAAGCCCATCTTTTTCCGGTAAGATCACAACATGAATGTTGATTTAATTTGACAAATAAATCGTGTTTTCAATGTTGAAGATTTTGGATGACGTTGAGTTAGAGACCTAGCTACTTTAAATCGACAACGGTTTGTCCCCAGTTCTTGGGAGGGTATCCATAAGAATTTATAAAAAGTATCCAGGATATAATGGGTACATTGATGACATTAGCTTGAGGGTGAGGATGCAGTCGGTACACGTGATTCCTGTACAAAACTCCACCAAAGACACAGGACGACTAACCACCACATACGCCCTTTGTTCATGGCCAGTTTATCTCGACCATATATTTAGCATGTTCGTAGAAAGGTTGGTGCATTCCATCTCTTTCAATAATAATTTACAGATGAAACATTGCACATCGCAGTGAGACCCAAACACACAAATCCAGCGATTCTTATATTGGATGTCCGTAAAGTAACACAGCACTACGTCGCAGCTAAAAAAAAAGATCTCCATTAAGTTACGGGTGTAAAGCCCCTTGTAGTACAAAGAAGAAAATGACTTATGATCTACTCGATTTGAAGGACAGGAGCAATCCAAAAACAACTTACGGAGAGTTAATATTTGAAAAATAAAATTAATATTAAATATAATGTTGGACCATAGATTCTTCGAAATAAATCTAATTTGTACTTCTGCAGAAAAACATCTATGATCAGGGAATCTGACTGTTTAAAATCATACACTTCCACCAGTATCTTTAAAAACAAATTGTAAGAAGTTCACAAAGAAACATGCTGTGCCGTATTGACTTAAATGTTAATAACTTTTAAAGGTTTGTTTCAGACAGCAGTACATGTACTTGTGGTCATGATTTTGTATATCGTAATTATTTTACATGACCCTCGCTTCTCCTGTATTGACTTTTAAAGGTACATCTCACGCAGTGGTACATCTACTTGCGGTCATGATTCTTAAGATGTAAATCTTTAATTTTTAATTTGCCCGTTACTTTCAGATGCACGCAAAAATCCTATTTTTAATACAAAAATTATTTAAATGATATTTCAACACGTTCATAAGTTTTAAGATTATAATGAATGTGAAACTGTGAATGCAAATTGCCATGGGGCCTATTTCATTTTATTGGGTTACTTTGTTGTAGTCCATTTTTGTATTTTTGTAACATAGCAGACTTATAATATGACTGTTCATTTTCGGTGAATAAAATGATGTTTTTAAAATATGAAAAGTAAGGGTGATAACCAGGCTAGAACGACAAAACATTGTCTGTATGGTCATTCTCCTTTATTTGGTATAATTTTAAAACAAAACTAGTTGAGAATAAATTTGTGGTCAGGTGTGTATTGTCGTGCTTAAGATCACGTTCTAATCCACCCATGTATCTTAATGCAGAAAGGACTAAACTTAACTGTGGTCTGATCCCGATTGTATTTCGGATAATCTCCCTTAACAAAACTCTTTACAAACGGTGGTTCAAATAAACCGTAGACCAAAACACGTGAAAGAATATAAGATAGTAGGCTAAATAAAAATAAATAACTGTTTAATTTTAATTTTAAGATGTCTTCCTGGAAAAAAGTTAGTAAATCAAAAAGCAAACAACATAGAGAGAGGAGTCAGGTTAGTTAGAAAGTATTTTGATTTTAGTTACTTTGTAAACTTTGTTACCCGGGGCCCAGGATGATTGTGGAAGAATCGTAGTTTGTGTTGAGAGACATGAGCCTATATTAGGCTACTGTAGAAACTAGAATTAAAGAAAGTAGCTTAGGCACAATATTGCTATTTGCTACTACCGAGTCCCTTCTCCCTTTTCTCCGTTCCTAGTAGCAATGTTTCCCAATCCCTTTCAACCTTGCTTGATGTCAATGATAGGCCTAAATGAAATGAAATGAAAGGATTTAACATCCTTATCCTACTGTTCTGACGTCTGCACCGATTGGGCTAATGAAGATGGGCATACACAATACAGCGTGCTACGAGGGAAATTTTGCCCTAATTCCAACTGCCAAGGGTCCTTTAAGGTGAGTGCCAATGTGTACATGGGACCTCTGTTTTTTGTCCTATCCAAATGACTAGACAGCTGTCCTTGTCAGTTCTACCTTGCATTGCTTGATCAAACTTGAAATCTGATTTGCAGTGCTGATTTATCGAAAGCATTTGCACAATAATCTTCCTATGTTTAAAGGAGCTAATATTTGGAACCTAGAAATTGACACAAATGGGTTGCAACGCATATAATAATGTAATATGAATCATGAATCTAAATAAACTGATTTACATTCAATCTTTTCTGTTTTCACTGTAATTTCTAATCATTTATGTTAGGCGAAATACGCCAGAAGTCTCAATTGAATGGCAATCTCTAGTGACTGGTTATTCCAGTCTACACCGATAGTATTTATTGCACATGCTCTCCAGATAACAATATGACGTCACCGTTTGACTTGACTTGTGGAATATGCCTAGCCTCGTTTTTCAAGTCCCTTATTACAAATGACGCTGAAATGCATTATGGTACACGATTCTTGTACCAATGGTAAAATGTTTATTTTGTCTTAAATATTGGATATCAGAAGCCCATATTTTCCCGGTAAGAACAAAACATCAATGTTGATTTAAATTGATAAATAATTTGTGTTTTCAATGTTGAAGATTTTGGATGATATTGAGTTAGAGACTTAGCTACTTTAAGTTAAAGGAGGCAAGGCTTTAACTCAATTATGATATCATCCACAATCTTCGACATTGCAAACAAGACTTAGTGGTCAGTTTAAATCATAGCTTATGTTGTTATCTTACTGTGAAAAGATGGGCTTCTGATATCCAGTATTTAAGACAAAATGAAAATTTTAAAATTTAAATTGGCAACCAGAATGCTTTCTAGTTCGTGCACTATTTGTGATTTAGCGACTTGATGAACGAGGCTAAACATATGTACCCCACAAGAGAATACTGCCAGTGTAGACTGGAATAACCAGATACCGAAGACTGCCATTTAATTTGGACTCTTTGCGTATTTTGTCGAACATAACTGATTAGAAATTACAATAAAAACAGAAACGATTGAATGTAAATCAGTTTATATACATACAAATTACATTATGGTATGTGTTGCCACCCTTTTGTGTCAATTTCTAGGTGCCAAATAATAGGGATTTAGCTCCTTTAAGTAATAGTTTGTAAAGGTAAAACTTATTAGAGACACTGTTTATTGTCTGAACTCTGCTTTATTATCAGATATTTTTCATCATTTTACATTTTAGCTTGAATCAAGGAGATGGCTTGGTCCCTTAGAAAAGAAGAAAGATTACAAAAAGAGAGCTAAGTATGTTCATTATAACTTAAAAATGCATGTACATTTGTATATTCAATTAGTAAACTTAAACCAACAAAAATTGAACACCTGTAACCCAAATTTAAATTTAGATGTTTGTTATTAATTATTGATATGATTTTCTTCCAGGGAACAGCACAGAAAAGATGCCACAATTAAATATTTAAGAAAAAAAGCAGAGAACAGAAATCCAGATGAATTTTATTTTAATATGGTTAAAACAAAAAAAGTGGTTAGTTATTCATGTATGGACATTCTTCTTCCTTGTCAAATCCAGGAAAGAAGCAAATCATGTTATGACGTTCCCCCTGTCGGTCTGAACATCTGTTCGCATTTGTTTGTGGGCACTCTAGAGGATACAATTTTTATCTTGATTTAAACGAAACAAAAAATATATGTTTTTATCCCAAAGATCTCAGTTCCTTATGATATTGGCATGTATCCAACTATAACTTCATGGATTATGGCCCCTGTTTGTACCTAAAATTGCTTTTTTGTGGACCCTCTAGAGGTCACAATTTTTATTTGATTTTAAAAACCATACAGATATGTCACCGTTACACCGTTGATTTCAAATTTCGTGACTGAAACTGTCCCGAGAAGGGCCACAATTTTTTTCCAATTTAGATGAAACTTCAAACATATGTGAAGGTTCAAAAAATCTTGGAGGAGTTCAACTTTAGCACGCATGGGACTTTCTATTCTGGAGTTATGTCCCTTGCCTTTTACGTAAAATGTTAAATATGTACAGAGTTTGTGGACCCTCAAAAGGTGACAAGTTTTGTCAGATTCAGATGAATCTAAAAATATGTGTTACGGATCAATAGTTTTTGAATGAGTTTGAATTTGGTACACATCAAAACTTCATTTCTAGATTTATAGCCCCTGCTTTTTACACAAAATGTTGAATATACATGAAGTTGTCTACAATTTTGGTCTCGTTCCGATGTAACTTAAACAAATATGTTAAGAATCAAAAGATCTTGAATGAGTTTGTTTTAGTGCACATCAAAACTCAATGATGGGACAATGAGAGGATGAGTCCAATTAATTTTCGCTGTTCACCGTTCATCTCTTGCAACATTTCGGCATATCTTGCGTGGCAACCACTTGTTTGTTATTTCGTAAGATTTTGTTTGCAGGTTTTTTTTTTTTATATATATATCTTTATTTATATGACATACTAGCAGGATACCCGGCTTCGCTCATGGGTCATAACTCCGAAACTGGAAGTGGTAGACTAACGCCACCTGGCCTATGTTACTTCCTACCCCTATACCCCAAATTTCAGACTCGGGGCAGACCTAGTGTAGTCGCCAACCCCGAACAGACCGGCATCGCTCGGGGGTCATAATTTCGAAACCGGAAGTGGTAGACTAACGCCACCTGGCCTATGTTACTCCCCGGTCCGAGCTACCCCTATACCCCAAATTTCCGACTCGCGGCAGACCTAGTGTAGCCGCCAACCCAGAACAGACAGACTTCGCTCGGGGGTCATAACTCCGAAACCGGAAGTGGTAGACTAACACCACCTGGCCTATGTAACTCCCCGGTTCGAGCTACCCCTATACCCCAAATTTCAGACTCGGGGCAGACCTAGTGTAGCCGCCAACCCCGAACAGACTGGCTTCGCTCGAGGGTCATAACTCCGAAACCGGGAGTTGTAGACTAACGCTACCTGGCCTATGTTACTCCCCGGTCCGAGCAACCCCTATACCCCAAATTTCAGACTCGGGGCAGACCTAGTGTAGCCGCCAACCCCGAACAGACCGGCTTCGCTCGCGGGGTCATAACTCCGAAACCGGAAGTTGTAGACTAACGCCACCTGGCCTATGTTACTCCCCGGTCCGAGCTACCCTTATACCCCAAATTTCAGACTCGGGGCAGACCTAGTGTAGCCGCCAACCCCGAACAGACAGACAGACAGACAGTCACAAATATATATATAGATAGATTTCATCTTGGCTATAATGAATATTTTTTAATTATCTAGGAAGGAGAACATCAGGCACGAGAAACAGATGAACCAGAATTTACAGATGACCAAATTAAAATAATGGAATCACAAGACATTAGATATGTGAATTTAATGAGAACAGCTGAAATGAAGGTGATTTATGGGACAGTCAGCAGTCTTATTTTAAATCTTACACTTTCAAAAACAAAAGATGACAAATCATCTTCAGAATCTCTGTAATATGTCAAAATGAACAAAGATTTTTAAAAAAAACTAAATTTGATATGGGCATATATTGCAGATAGAAATGTCAGTTTTACAAAAAATATTGACATTTAATGAAAAGAGAAAAACATAAAAATATATTGATAAAAACCCTTTTTATACGCCCACATTCAAATGTGGACGTATATTGCCGTCGCCTCCGTCGGTCGGTCTGTCCGTCCATCATCAACAATTTCTTGTGAACGATTATACGCCCACATTAAAATGTGGACGTATATTGCCGACGCTCGGTCCGTCCGTCCGTCCATTGTCCACAATTTCTTGTGAATGGTCTAACGCCAAAAGTTATCATCCAATTGTTTTAAAATTGATATATGTTGTTTAAATTAGTGAGATGAAGAAGCCTATTTCATTTCAATAATTTCCGTTTATTACGTCTAGAGTTATGGCCCTTGTTTCACTTTGTTGAACCTTGTGAACGCTCTAATGTCAAAAGTTAACATCCGATCTTTGTGACATTTATATGCATTATTTAAATTAGTGAAAGAAGAGGCCTATTGAATTTCAGCAATTTCCGTTTACAACATCTAGAGTTATAGTCCTTGTTACACTTTATTGAACCTTCTGAACGCTCTAACGCCAAAAGTTATTATCCGATCTTTGTAAAATTTATATGCATGATTTAAATTAGTGAAACGAGGAAGCCTATTGAATTTCAGCAATTCCCGTTTACTACATCTAGAGTTATGGCTCTTGTTTCACTTTATTGAACCTTGTGAACACTGTTAACACCAAAAGTTATAACCCAATCTTTGTGAAATTTATATGCATGATTTAAATTAGTGAAACGAGGAAGCCTATTAAATTTCAGCAATTTCCGTCTATAACTTCTAGAGTTATGGCCCTTGTTTCACTTTGTTGCGCCATGGGAACGCTCTAACGCTCTGCCGATCTGTATAAAATTTACATGTGTCATTTAAATTAGTCAAGAGAAGAATCCTATTGAATTTCCGCAATTTCCGTTTATTACTTCTATAGTTATGGCCCTTGTTTCACTTTGTAAATGTTCTAACCTGTAAAGTTAACTGCCGATCTGTATGAAATTTATATGTGCCATTTGAGTTAGTAATAAGAACAATCCTATTGAAATTCAGCAATTTCCGTTCATTACGTCTAGAATTATTGCTCTTTTCACTTTATTGAACCTTGTGAACGCTCCAACACCGAAAGTTATCATTGGATCTTTGTGAAATTTATATGCATTATTTAAATTAGTGAAACCACGAAGCCTATTGAATTTCAGCAATTTACAATAATTACTTCTAGAGTTATGGCCCTTGTTTCATTTTGTTAAACCTTGTTAATGCTCGATTGATGAAAGTTATCATCCGATATGTATGAAATTTATATGCATCATTTAAATTTGTGAAACAGAGGTCTTATGAATTTCAGCAATTTCCGTCAATAATTTCTAGAGTTATGGTGATTTGCGAACCTTGTGAACGTTTGAATGACAAAGGTGATCATGTGATCTGTATGAAATTTATATGCATTATTTAAATTAGTAAAACGAAAAACCCTGTCAAATTTCAACAAATACTTCCAGAGTTGAGACCCTTGTTTCAGTTTGTAGAACCTTGTAAACCCTCAAACGACAAAATTTATAATCTGATCTGTATGGAACTGTCTTGTAAAGGCCCCCAATTACCTACAAAGGAATAAATATGCGACAACCCTTGTCAACCCCTCGGACGATTCTGCTGCTGTGGGTGTATGTTTCGTTGCCTGGCAACCTATCTTTTATAATTTTATAACAGAAAATAGAAAAACTGAAGTCCTCTCTGCATGTGATAGAAAGTCAAGTGAAACCTAAAAATAAACACATTATATTTGTTGATAGTAAAAAAGAAGGTAAGTGAACCATTTAATATATATATCGTGTACAGACTGGTGTGCGCTATGCAATAAAGAATTCATATTAATATACCATAGTTTATATTAATATTTATGCCTTGGTTTTCAGAGTATAGGTTGATACTTTTTCCACAGAAGTAAGACAATAATCTTGTACTCTGCACCGACTTACATATGAATGATGGTTAAAAGAATGTTGTCCCGAATTCCCATAAACTGTCACTGTTTGATGTGACATCGTCTGCTATATAATAGCATTGGTTGTATGTCAAAGCACATTTGTCAGGCTTTTGTCTATACTGCTTACATGTACACTATTGCAATCCAAATATTTGTTGTCAATTTTTTTTATTTTTTATTTTAATTAAAGAAAACGTAATCACTATTCAAAATAAGTTCATAACGACTACGCTGTAAAATGACATAAAAATATATCTTTAAAGGGCATTTAGTGAAAGCGATATATAATAACAGACAGCTTTATGGAAAACATTCACTAGGTTTATTAAGTGTAACGTTTCATTGAGGACACTCTCACAGTTATACAATCAAACATGTTACAGAAGGTTATAGGTAACAATAAGCAATTAACAAATTAAAAAAACGGAAGCCAGTGATATGGTGTTAAACATCAGTCAGACCTTATACCTAAGAAAACTATAATTAATAGGATACCCTTATAAAAGAAGGAAAATCTATAATTCATATTAAAACAACAATTAATTGATGTAAGCCCTTAATGTCCTGTCACTGATAAAGGCTTAAACATACATTATACAAGAGCTAAATCTGCCTATTTCAGATCTTTCTTTAGGTCTGACATTTTATCTAAATTTTTAATTAGACATTAATTAACTTATCCAGACCATAATCAACTCTCGATGTCATCGCTAGCCTGCGATGTTTATTGGATTAGGTTCTTATTTGCTGTTCGACTTCCATTCAAGATTTAATTACAAAATGCATAATTGAGACTATGTTTTTTATCGTACCGACTTTAGTAAGGCCGAAAATTCAATCGTATAAAATCTTGGTTCAGATTGGATCAATTTGACTGAAATTTTCATCAAATTTCCTTTACATTATCCAGTTTTTGACTATTAGAGTGAGAACTGCTAGCTCTTTATCTAATCTCCCATAATGTATCTATAATGTATATTTAATAATAACAGTAAGTTTCTAAAATCTGCACTGAGAATAAACTAGTTAACAGTTCCTAAAATCAACTAGGTATACTCCAATATCCTGGTTGAATTCTGGCTGGTTTCTTCTGATGTGAATTGCCTCAAGAATTTTCCTGTTTTTTTATATGCCCACATTGATATGTGGTTGGATATTGTCGTCGCCCCGTCCTTCCATCGGTCAGTCCAGCGTCCACAATGGCTTGTGGACACTCTAGAGGCTAAAGTTAATATTCGATTGACTTTAAATTTATACAGTGTTTAAGGTCATGCCGAGTTATGGCCCATGATAACTTTGAAAAATCTTGTGGATGCTTTAGAGACCATAGTTATCATCTGATTGATTCTATATTTATAGACCTATATATAAATGTTTTGATTGGCTTTAGATTGATACACAGATTTTACGGTCATAACTTGAACAGCTAAATCCATGATATTAAATGGGCCAAACAAATTCTAATGATTTTCTGATAATTACTTAATTGAGTTGTTACTCTTAATCAGATTTTAGTGTATTATAAATGTTTCATTACTGACAAAAGTAAACATATGCGACAACACTTGTTGACTGCCCGGACGATTTAGTTGCTGTGGGTGGTAAAATATGGTATGTTCAAATGATAAAGTCTACCAACTACAAGTATTGAACAATTATTAAAATTATTATACACTATGATTATAATATACATCTTGCAAACATTTCAAATAACCTGATTTTCATTGCAGCCAAAAATTTTGATGCAGCAAAGCATTTTAATACCCACCCTTCTTTGATGGATCGAGTTTACAATAGACCTACATTTGATATGCTAGCGAAACAAGATCTATCTAAAACAATGGATGATAAAACTTTATCGGTAGGTGAAAGTTAATATTCTTTAATCTATAATATAATCTTTAGTTCATATTTTAAATATATATATAGACTATTGAACTAAAATAATATTGCAGAAGAAGACTTGAAAATATTTTTTCACTTCAAAATTCCTTGATAACCATATGAGACTATTTATCTGGTCTAAAGATCTATGATCAATATTATATTAAATAATAGCTTGTCTGTCAGTATTTGTTGAAAGATTAGTGTTATTTTTATGTCTCAGTTTGTCTTTTGTCTGTGGCACATTTTAGTTCTTAATTTATTGGTAGATATCGGAAGATATTTCACTCTGATACTGATGAAACAAATAATTATTGAGTTTTGTTGTTTTAAATCAGGGAAGATAAAACTACACCAGCCCAAAAAACCTGAGATTATTTTGTCTCTAATGGAGATAAAAAAAAGATCTCTAGATCGCTATATCTTACATGACTTTATCTCATTTGATTTGAATGCCAGTATTTATAATTTGTGTAAACTTTAATTATTAAAGCTATGATGTATAATTTATTGTGGAATCCCACAGACAAGTTTTGTTTTAACAAGTTTATTGTAAACACTATTCTAAGGCTTTTAAGACTTTTATAAAAGTAAAAATGTATATGAAAAATTAAATAATTGGGTGATCTCTCGGAAACTTGCAGTCAAAAAATTATTTAGTAGAGTTCTTCTTTCTCGCCACCACATACACAATCCCTGTCAATAACAATGTGATAAAAACTGTAGTAAGTAGAGCATTCACAAGAAATTTTGGTCGAACACAAGTGACAATAATGTACATCCAGATTAAAATCTACTGTAATGTTAAAACCTCATTTTCTTACCAATGACTTTATTTTGATCAATTTAGTTGGGTCATTATTTATTGATTTTAAATGAGGTACCTCAGATGTTGTTGTCAGGACATGTTAACAAGCTTATAATTAGTTTTACATGTCTGTCATTAAGTAATCAGTAGAATTCTCTAGTTAGACAACTTATCAACTTAATTAGTTTGGTGGTAGCTCTATGGATTAATATTGATTTATACTATGGCCTTAAACTTGTAATGGATGGCCTGGGGGTAAATTTTGAAACTAAGATCTAAATTACACAAAATGTTTAATTGTTGTGTTGACGAGGGGCCTGACATGTACTCATCGGATCAGAAAGTCTGTCATTGATGCAAGTGTCATGGTTTCGATCCCCCAAAAATAGTAGGATCGCTTGCCTAACCTTACAGGTTTTCCCTGGATTGTCCAGTTTTCTCCAACTGCTCATTACTTCTGTGCATATGCATTTATAAAAAAACAAATGGAATGACCTTTTGTTGAGTGGATTTTAAACCCCAGTTTTCTTTCTTGCTTAAGATAAATTACTTTTAGTCAGATAACAAAAATCCATTAGCAGAGATGCATTTGAGTCTTTGAAGAAATTTTAGTTATCGCCTATTTCATGGTTGCTGAGTTTTATCTTATGACACATTTCGCTGGTTGTACAAAAAAAAATTAAGACGTTAGAATTTAACAAGCCAAATATTTGCATTTTATCAGATTTAATTTTAATTATTCAACAATAAAAATACAATAAAATGTGGCAGTATCATAGATAAAGGCAATATTACAGTTGACACAAAATGTTTATAAATCAATAGCGTAAACATAGCCATTGGAGTGAGGCATATTATAATATTGTTAGAATTCATTGAAATAATGTGTGACATTATGACATTCACTGTGAAAGTCTTTCAACCATGGTGAGTATTTCATGGCACAGTCAGTTGGGAGGCCGGAAAAACATTTTGCCATATTAAATTTATCCATGAATATTACCTGAAGTTCATATTTTTAACCCCAGAAAACTAAATCATCCCAGTAAAGATATTTCTGAATTATATTACATTTCAGAGTTGATTGACAAAATATTTTTGTATTTAATTTTCACTTGTTTTTTTAAGAAAATGTCAGCAAAAAAGGAACAACAATATAAAGAATTGTCGAAAAGAATTGAAAGAGAAAAGGAACTGAACATCATTTCACAAAAGATGGAAACTAGTCGTCATTTATTGGTAAGATTATTTATATCCTCTATCCAGTATATACAGCAGCTATTTAAACTTACCTTCTTCTGTTGAAGAGGCTTAATTTGTCAAATTTTGAAAGATACTATTATTATACAGATGATAATTCTTAGAGACAGGATGTGTCTTCAGTTGTGAAGATACATAATAGACATGCATTTACTAGTATTGTAAGCCTTTCCACATGTATAACTAGCGGTCTTTGTGGTTGAAGAAGATATTCAGAATAATATGCTCTTTCATTTTGTATTATACTGTAATCCGGGTTTTATTTACTCTTGTGTATTTAGTATTAATTTCTTTAACATTCATTTAATATCAAAACTGTGTTTGATAATTCGTATAAATCATTTAAAATCTCCCCCAAATCATCTAATTTGTAGTTGTGTTCAGTTTAAAGCTGACAATTTAATTTTGGTGATTTTAAATTATTTTTACGAATTTTCAAACAAAGTGTTGATATTGAATGAATGCTAAATACACAATATTAAATAATACCTGGGTTACAGTGATATGATGTTTATTTTATATTTTGAAGGATAAGACAGCTAAAAGAAAAAAAGTTACAGATGGTTCCAAAGATCAAGCACCCCAGTATAGATGGTGTTTTCATCGGAAAAAATAGTCTATTTGTATATACATTGTAAATAGTATAAATAAACAGTAATAAATATGTCAAGGAGTAAATGTTTTTTGAACATCTTGGACATAAGTTAGTAGTGATAACTGAAAGATATGGCATAATTCAAGCTCATGGACAGGGAAGGTTTGGGTGAGGTACTAAATTCCTGTAAACATTTGAACCATGCATTGGCTTGAAGTTCCACTGTCCAGGTTATAGTCGTCTTCAATAGAAGGCTTGATCTCGCTTTAACTAGTACATCTTATTAAGGCCTTCAAGTAATACCCTGCATATTTTGGCAATAATTTCGATTGGGTACAAGCCCAGCTTGTGAGCCTATCAGATTTCTCGATCGTCGCGAATACCAAGTCTCGTGCTTTCAAGCTAAAATATCTACCTGTGATAATCGAGTTGCAAAGTTCAATGTTCATTCAAGGTTTCCGTGGAGGTTGCGATGTCACAACCTCTGAGTGGACGCTACTGCTCACGTGTCTGTAGATAACATAGCTATAAGTTCGGGAATTTTGAAGTAAACAAGCAACGTCTAGATGTAAAACTCGCAGTCGTTGCTTCAGGAACATGGGTTATAGTGCTATCCTGGTCGTTTGTACTTTATAATACATGTATACTATACTTCCTGCCTGCCCAATCGTCTGACAGTTCAAAATAATTGTTCCCAAATTCATGTTTCTGACAGTCTAAAATAATTGTTCCCAAATTCATGTTTCTGACAGTCTAAAATAAGCATATTTAATAAGGAGGACTCACGATAATATCTGAATATTTGGGTATTGTTTCTAGATCACGGCAATCCAAAATTAGCGGTGAGTCTAAAGAGACTCAACCTTTTCCTTACCAATTTGGAGTACTAACAATCTAATTAAAATACAGACCTACATTTCGTTTCGTATTTTATACTTTTGATGTCATCCTCTAGATGAGTGAAGACAAGTAAAACGAAATATTGAACTATAAATAACGACATATGACCCGTGTTTAAATCTGATCGAAATAGTGAAGAAAGAAGTAAGGTTTACTATTCATGAAATAAATAATTGAGTTCTACATAATATATGGATAAAAAAAGAAAGATATCGGAATTAGTACAAATGGAAAATAGTATGCAGAGCCGTAAAGCGTGGCAAAGGGTGACAGTTCTGTCAGATTAGTTTGTATTACCAAGTCTGATTTAAAGAAGGCATGTGTAATGTCAATTTGATGGGTTTTAACAGTTTGTTTGATTTTGTTAGATTTAAAATGTTTTAATACGACGCTGTACTGATTGTTATACTGTGTTTTAGGATTTAAGGTACTCGCGGTGGCTTAGCGAGTAAGGCATTGACTCGCAAACCACGGTGGCTCGGGTTCGCTCCTTGTGTTGGCCCAGAACATGGTTCCCCCTTTTCAGTGGTGCAGGGCGGAGGGTCTGGCAAGAAACAGCGTTTGGGCGTAAAACCGAGGTCACATGTTCACGTTGATGTGCACTTAAAATAATCCATGACAGTTGGAATTGGATGAAGATGTTGTGTCCATCTGCATTATCCCGGTTTGTGCAGAAGAACAGGACGTTAAACCAGTGTTACCTTTTTTATACGCCCACATTTTCATGTTGGCGTATATTGTCGTCCCCCCTGTCCGTCCGTCCACAATTTGTTTGTGGACACTCTACAGGTCACAATTCTTATCGAATTTTGACGAAACTTGAAATATAGGTTTATCTCCAAAAGACCTCGGCTGCTTTCGATATTGGCATGTATCGGATCGAAACTTCATGGATTATGGCCCCTGTTTGTACGAAAAATCACGTTTCACCTTGTGGACCCTAAAGAGGTCACAATTTTTATCTGATTTTGTAGAAACTTGAAATGTAGGTTTATAACCTAAAGATCTCGTTTCCTTTCGATAGTCGCGCATATCGGACCGTAACTTCCTGAATTATGGCCCCTGATTGTACGAAAAATCGCGTTTTTAGCTTGTGGACCCTATAGAGGTCATAATTTTTATCCGATTTAAAAAAACGTATTATTATATCACCGTTACACCCTAAGGACGGCTGAGTTCGAATTTCGTGAAAATCGGCCCAAAATTGACAGAAAAAAATGGCCGCCGTTCGTTCTCAAATAGCGTAAAAATCGCGTTTTTAACTTGTGGACCCTATAGAGGTTAAATTTTTATCCGATTTAAAAAAAAGGTATTATTATATCACCGTTACACCCTAAGGACGGCTGAGTTCGAATTTCGTGAAAATCGGCCCAAAATTGACAGACAAAAAGACCGCCGTCTGTTCTCAAATAGCGTAAAAATATGGTATATCAAGGTTGTGGACCCTATAGATGTCATTATTTTTATCCAATTTTGTTGAAACTTGAAATGTAAGTTTATAACCCAAAGATCTCGGTTCCTTGCGATATTCGCGCATATCGGACCGTAACTTCCTGAATTATGGCCCCTGATTGTACGAAAAATCGCGTTTTTAGCTTTTGGACTCTATAGAGGTCATAATTTTTATCCGATTTAAAAAAAAACGTATTATTATATCACCGTTACACCCTAAGGACGACTGAGTTCGAATTTCGTGAAAATCGGCCCAAAACTGACAGACAAAATGGCCGCCCTTCGTTCTCAAATAGCGTAAAAATATGGTATATCAAGGTTGTGGACCCTATAGAGGTCACAATTTTAATCCGATTTTGTTGAAACTTGAAATGTAAGTTTATAACCCAAAGATCTCGGTTCCTTTTGATATTCGCGCATATCGGACCGTAACTTCCTGAATTATGGCCCCTGATTGTACGAAAAATCGTTTTATTTGTGGACCCTATAGAGGTCATAATTTTTATCCGATTTAAAAAAAAACGTATTATTAAATCACCGTTACACCCTAAGGACGGCTGAGTTCGAATTTCGTGAAAATCGGCCCAAAATTGACAGACAAAATGGCCGCCGTTCGTTCTCAAATAGCGTAAAAATATGGTATATCAAGGTTGTGGACCCTATAGATGTCACAAAACTTTTATCGGATTTTATTAAAACTTGAAATGGAAGTTTATAACCCAAAGATCTCGGTTCCTTTCGATATTTGCGTATATCGAATTGTAATTTCCTGAATTATGGCCCTTGATTGTAGGAAAAATCACTTTCTTTTTGGCTTGTTCTCTATCCATCTCTCGAAAATGTGGGCGTATCCTGCCTGGCAGCCGCTGGTTAAATAATCGGATGATTAATCTACAAAGGTGACTGCACCCTCTACTTCAATCTGTTTCACAGAGTATTACGAAAGTCTTCTAATATCTCTGTAAAAGATGACTGCCTTCAACACATGACGTCATATCACGCAGCGTCAATCATTGGCTTAATGGCGCGTGCATTGTTTACATAAGACGTTACTGATTCGAGCAGAATGGCGCCTTTTATCATTTTCATACCCATTTACACTAAAATAGGAAATACTTTTTACCTACAACTACGTCAAACGTCTTTATTTATTTTTCTAATACATAAAAAATTTGACGGAGGAAAAAAGTTAATATTTGTGGCCCATTAAGTCGCATCGATGTCATCCTTATCAGTGATTGTCGCAGCCTAGCGAATATTCACTGCGGATCAGTGTGCCTCTACCAGTCATAACGGATTGCCTGCTTTATTCATTGAGTCATTAGATTCCCAGCTTATACGTGACAAGGAGTAGGGACGCCTGTCCAACTTTGTGGGTTTTCTCCGGGTCCTCTGTTGCGCGACCAACCCTCCGCCTGGCAACCAACGAATTTGCGGGCGTTCTGTAGCTGTACGTGAAGACCCCCTGCCATAACCCAGACACAAACAGATAACAGAGTACTTCAATTAAGAACAACACTAACTTTATTAAACAAATATATATAATAAACACAATATTTAGCGAGAGAAAGTAGCTTTAAAAATGTACATCGAAGTGAAAAGATTTACTAGGTTTGACTTTAAAAATAGTTTTACTGGTATTAAGTTTTTAAAGTAGTTAATATAAAGATACTTAATGTACGCGATTCAGGAACTTCTGGATCTATAAATATGGTTTTCCTGTAAATAAAAATCTCAAGCCCAAGGAGTTATCTCCCTTCAATGCACAAATTCTGTTCCAGGAACAATTACAATAGTAATTAGTATTTCAAGGATTTCAAAAGAGCATTAACCTTATTTATGTTCTGATGCTAATACTATTCATAGTAGCTTATGTAATAACCGGGTTAATGCTTCGTGCACCGGATTCGGTTCGAAACACCAGATTCGGTTCAAGGCACCCAGCCTTGAGTTGAGTAGCGGTCTTGCACAAGTTAAGCATGAACTTGATGCGTGTTCATCAGCGATGAAATAAATTAAAGCCGACGTCACATACTCCAATTTACGATTATCTAAAATCGAGAAGATCCCTCTCGCAACTTCCGAAGAAAAAATCCAAAGAATTATCCGCCAAGTTGGACAAATTCATGTAAACCTCGAATATATAGATAAATTAGAGAAAATTCAACCTTCAACGTTTGTTAAATGTAAATCGGAGTTAAAAACACACTTGTTTAAATATTATTACAAATTGTGATGTGTAATTTGTTCAGCGCTTATAAATATCACCGGATATAATGAAGCGCTATAGAAGATGAATAATAATGATAATAAAATGACAATTACTTGAATTGTTAATATTATGGCACAAATAATGTTTAGAACGCCGATTAAAAAAGGGTGACATACACATTTATGCATCGCCGCATATCAGTTTTGAGATAATATAAATAATAATAATAATAATGAGGTTTTATATAGCCTCTTCTCCATGTTAACACATGCTCAAAACGCTTTTTGTAATGGCTCTACTGGTAAAACTGTCGAAACAGGAAAGTCTTTAGTGCGGATTTAAATTGATTAAAAGTTTGTTGATTCTTGATCTATTGTGGAAGTTCGTTCCATAATCTAGGACCAACTGAACTGAAAGACCTATACCCATATGACTTTAAATTATATCTTGGAACAACTAGTGACTGTTTATTTTGAGAGCGAAGTGATCTAATAGGGTTGTAGTCA